CCCCAAAACCCCAAAACCCCAAAACCTGATTGTCTTATTAATCATGAAATTATGAAATGTAATCTGCTAAATATAATAATTTTTATAATATTTAAAATTTAAAATGCAGAGGCAGGTTATCTAAAGGAAAGTTTTCAAGTTCCTAAAATTTCTGCTTTTTTAGAAATAAACAGCATAATTACTCAGTTTAACTTTCCTCGTTTGCTTTCTCATGTTTGAAGTAAGAATTCAAATCATCTGTATTATGCTATCACAGATATTTTCAGTCGATGATTGGGTGAATGGTTAGAGCTACTTCATCAAAAAGAGTGCAAAGGCAGTAACATAATCCATCTTTACTATTATAGTATTTTCTTTAAGACTATGTGGAATCTATTTCAAATTTTTCATAAATTTACGATTATTAGAGTATGATCAATAGTAAACTTCATGATCATACTAGACCACAACCATTTATGCCACTTTCTGTTCCAAGAATTGTAATTTTTATTAGAATTGATTTGCAACTCAATTAAATAGGTTTAATATAGAGCAAACTAAGACTTGGAATGCTTAAAAAATATTGAATTGACCACTAAAGGATGTAGATCTCTAGAGTGTCTGGAGAAATAATTCTCTAAAGAGTGCAACAATCTCTATGATTCAAAGCATTCTATTGATTTCTCTTATGCAACTATAAAGAATGGAAATACAACAAAATATATTGACATAAACAAAAATTTGTCAATTTGTGCTGAAAATTCATCCTGCAATGAATATAGTTTAAGACAAGCTCAGATTTTGGAATTTATGGGCTATTATTTTGTTTACGGTGAATATGGATACTACATAGATCTAATTGGTTCTCATGAGATGATATTTACGTAAATTGAGAAACTGAAAATAAATAGCTGGTTGAATGCTGAAACAAGAGCACTGGTATTACATAATTGTTCATTTTTGTCTAGGTTTATGAATACAGTGTATTTGATGTAAGAAGAAATCAGGTTATGGTTATTTAAGTGATCATTGAAAACCTAGGAGATGATATTTTAAAGAGCAAGCTACTAATCTAATAAATTAACCCATAATTGTAAGAGCCCTAATCTAAATTGCATCTAAAACAATTTTGTAGTGAATATAAGAAACTCTTTACAATTTTGATAGTAATACTCTCTTTTGTATCTTTCCTTAGAAGCTTGAGAGTTGTAATTATTGAATGTTAATTTATCAGGTATTTGAGCTTCAATTAGGGATTAATTCATTGTTTATCTAATTTTTTGAAATTGTAAATTATTCCTATTGTTTATTATGCTAGGTCTATGAAGTAGCTGTTTACGCAGTTTTAATATGCAAAATAACGCTGTAAACAATCCTTAATCCAATAAAAGTATTTAGATTTTCAATCGTGCCAGATAATCTCATGGAAGAAAAATAGCCTCCATAAGTCTTCAGATCGTTCAGATTCGCATTGTATATTGTGAAACTAGGATTTATTGCATAAGTATGCGTAATGGCTATTTAACCATTTAAAATATTCTCCATATTTTCTATGTACGAATACTTTGATCCTTTAAAGAAGTAAATTAATTTATGCATTATAAATTACACACTTTTAGATTGCTTAACACATATTACCGATAATACCCAAGTGTGAGAAATTAGGTAAAGTATTATTTTACTCTAATTCATTAGATCTTCAAATAAATCACATACTAGTTAATAGACTTGATATAATTTTTGGGATTTTGTATCTCTCTCTAGTTATGGTATGATTATATCTTTTATTAATTTTCTAAGGGAATATATTTGATATTATCTGATTATATTGGCTCATGCAAGACTTATGAAGATACTTATCTCACTATGATTTCGAAAGAAATTGATCAGGACCCCGATTACCTAGCTTCAATTAAGCATTATGACTTTCCAATAACTGAATTAATAGGAACTCTATTGTATTTGATAATCTTATTCGGCATTATTTCATTAATTGCAATGCTCAGAAATACCTATAAATTAGCTGCATAAATAGAAAAATCAACAATTTATACTCCTACTTAGAAATAGATGTTTGGGCTGCTAGAGGAAATAAAATATTTTATAGACTATATTCATAGAAAAACAGTTAAAATTGTTGATAAGGAAAATTAGATGATTAATGTGTACGAGAAAAATAAAATAGTTCTCTGGTTTGCTAAGGATCTCGGCTCTTTTTCTGATAGGATGATAAGATAAGATTTGTTTAAGAGATTCAATTAATGTTGTGATGACTTCCCTAACTGTCATAATGAATTAAGAACTTGCGTGGATAAAGGATTTGTAACAGAGTTTATTGACTTAGTTTCAGCAAGTGAATTGAAAAGCTTCTTAGAATCACTATTTAAGCTAAAACCATTCCTTATTACAACTTTTGCTTTGAACAATCTTAGACTGGTAATTGATTTCAGAATTCATAGTGAAATAACGCAAGGAGTTTATTCTCTATAAAATGATGGCCATCAATATAACAAAATTCTTCAGAGTTACCTATCTTCAATAAGGAATATTTTGTCATTTTTCAATGACATTGGATGTAAAGTGCCCTTGCTTTTGTTTGAATAAGATAGAACTATTATTGAGCACAAATAACTTATGCTTATGAATCAATAGTATAAGTATTTCTTCTACACAAAGAAGCTAGAAAAAGTGAAGAGCTTTTGTAGAATGGAATCACTGTCTTAGTTCGCTAAGAATAGTATAAATTATCAAAATAGAAGCAATTGATAAAGAACAAAATAAATTAATAAAATTAGATATTTTAGCATGAATTGCTATTTTATAATTCTCTGATCTTGGATTAAATATATTTAATTTATTAAATCAGTCACTGTGGGGTTTTGGGGTTTTGGGG